TGCGGTCAAGTGCACAGCTGCCAAGGCGCATCGCCAGCGGAGATGAAGAACTGGAACCGAGGACCCAGAATCAAGAATTGAGAATTCAGAACCAAGACCAAGCACGTTTCCCACCGCTGCTGCCATTGCCATCAGTTTTCCCAGTTTCCAGTTTTAGTTTGTCAAGTTCTTGGTATTCTAAATACCCTTAATAGAGACGAACGTGTTATTTTTAAAAATGGTTGTTATATAAAAAACATTTTAATTAATTTGTATAGTCTTTTACTATAAATACTTTTTTTTCAACAAATCATTACTTCTAGATGTAAGAAGGCTTTTGTACTTTTGTAAAGAATAGAGTAACCAAGCTGCGAACTCGACATCTCATTCTTTTTCACTGCCAACAATTTGTTGCATCCACATCCGAGGTGGCCAACTGAGGGGGCCCCGCGAGGGGAGTGTCTGTGGCAGCCGCACAGCATCACAAACCTTCAATGACTGATGGCGACCTCAATGCAAGCCACACGTTTCCGAGGCTTTTTTTCGGCTTCTCGGTCTTGGTCAAAGCTTTTTTTTTGTCTTTTGAGCCAGTGGAAGCTGCTACGTGCGGTTTTCTTATTTTGTTGTTGTTTTCTTGCGGTTGTAAATTTTGCAATCAAATAATTTTTCATTCGCTTTTCCAGCGATCCATTGGTCCGCCCCGCCTCAGACCCCCGCGGAAAACACCAATGACGACCTGATTTTTCTTTTCATTTTTGGGCTTCGTGAGGAGGCGGGAGGAAAGTGTTTGCAGCTTGACTTTGGCCAAAACGTTTTGACCTTTGCCGCGGCATCGTGTTCGAACATTTAAACGGAAGTTGATTGCCGCCAAAGGTTAAGCCCAATTTCCGTTCGAGTTTTCTAGGAAACGCTAAGAACTCAATTTCCATCAGATCAGCAGCAGCTGTTGCTCGCTTCGTGTTGTGTTGATGCAGTTTAGAGTTCATTTCGCTGGTCAATTGCTCGGGTCAGACATTTAGTTGCCTGTTAGATGGTTAAATAAGTTATTTTTTTGTCTTCGGGCCCAGGATAGTTGGCCGATCAATTGCCGCTGGGATTCTGTGGGTGATTTGTGAAGGGATCTAGGCTAGGGTTAGTTGTGGGATCTGTATACCATAACGGAGTGGCGGTAGATCGTTTAACTAATTGGAGAGATAGTTTTTTAATTGGTTCTGTATATGGTAATAGCCTTTCTTCTCTTTGCTATATATGGTTCTAGATCAAATTGAAGCAACCTAGATTTTATGAGGTTCGTGTCTTAAGTCTTTTGTTTGTCTGAGTTTAAAATTATGGGAAAGTTTTTAAATTAATTTGTACAATTGGGTATTATTTTTTTATAAACAAATATTTATATTATATTTATATCATAATTAAATCATCAGGTACTTTAAAATTTGACCTATTACTAAAGTATTAAACAAAAAGCTAACCCCAGCCTAATCAACACATTAAACAAAACTAAAAAAAAAACGGAACCAACAGAGGGGTCATAAAATCACTCGGCTGTCAAAAATTCGCACTAATTCGTTTGGAATAACCGTTAAAAGGGTCTCAGCCGGGCCAACTGACTGACATAGCTGTAATTATAATGCCCCCAAAGCCCGCAGTCGCAGCCGATCTCTGTCAGCTGACATTGTCCATTGTGGAGCCTCTTGACCATTTACAAGCTCAAATTACAATAGCGGCCCATTGTGCGTCGCGCCCCCGCAAATTGTGCGATGGTGTTAGTGCCTCTCAGGTGTGCTTCAGGTGTGCTAAGTGTGCGTGCGTTTGTGTGGGACGGTAGGCTGGTGGGCATTCAAATGCAAACGGAGCGGCAGACCACCGTTACAATGTGGCTCATTAAAAGCAAAATGCTCATGTAGCAGCACCAACAATAAAACGCCGGCCAAACAAAAATGTGTAAAATCTGACGCGCAGTCAAACAATAACAATAGGAGAGTCAGATTCCGATTCTGAGTCCGAATCTGAATCTGTATCTGAACCTGAACCTCTGGATTGGAGCCACAGAATGGGGAATGAGTGGGGTTTTTGTTTGCCATAAAATATTTCACGCCAATTTCAATTCTTCCGTGTGCCATAAACTCAGCATCGGAACGTCACTCAGACTTAAGGCGCCGCCAAGTACACTATTCAAAAATACTAAATAATTAATTTAAATATAAGTATCTTTACTTCGATTTTAGTAAGATATTTCTTTTTTTAATAAAATTAGAATTTAAGAAACCAAAAATGTTTGATTAGGCATTATAATAATAAATATAACTATTATATAGCAACTCGCAATAGATACTTATGAAGAACATTGACCATCTTCCAAAGAAGTATTGTGTGTTTTTTTAAAATTTTTTTACTTGTTTTCACTTTAATACTTAGCATAAATTCACCTTTTAGAAAGACAAACGATTTACTTTCCGATTATTATAACAAATACCAGCGTATGCAATTTTTGTAATGCCATGAATGAGTCATTTCCGAAATCAGCATCAACACCGAGTCGATCTAGCCATGTCCAAGTTGTTAAAAATTAAAAAAACAAGAAATGTTTAATATTTTAAATTTTTAATTGAATATGCTGATTTCTTAACCTGATGAAAACTCACACAAAAGGCTTTCCGAAATAAAATTAGTAAATTTTTTGCTTGTGATCGATTTAGAATCTCCTGATCTAATTACAAACTGCAACGATAATCAATCTTTGGCTTCCCATTTTTTAGCTTCCTTTCTTACATCTTCTTGTCTTATTTAATTTTATATTTTTTCCTTAGTGTACCGGTTTGCAATTTTAAATTCATAAAATCAAAGACGAACGTGAAACAACAACACAAAGCCCACGAAACTGTGCCAACAACAATGTTGAAGTAATGAGAATGAGCATGAGCATCCAAAAACTCAGCAATTACCAAGTCAGCGAGAGAGAGAGAGGGAGAAAAAGAGCCAAAGCCGGGCTTCGTCGGATGCGGCTTCGGCTTCACGATCGGCTTTGCCGAACGCGGAAGTATGTCAGCAGGTCTTCGGCGGTCTCTCGGCTAACGGTAGTTTTTCAGCCGCTCCTCTGCTGCAGCCGCTGCTCTGCCGCCACGCTTAGCTGCGCCTGCTTAGCTGGCTTGACGTTGGCTTCGACGTCGGCGTCGGCTGAGCCGCTGTTGTGGCTTCTTCTTCTTCTTTCCGCATGCTAGCTGAACTAGCAACATGTTGCTGGGAATCTACAAAAACAAAAGCAAAAACACAAATGTAAATGTTGCTTACCTACAACGCCAACCTGTTGAAAGCGAAATTTTCTCTTTGCAGCTGGACAGTGTCTAGCTTTGATTTCTGCCTCTTCTTCGCCGCCTTCTTCTTCTTCTTTTGCCTCTTCTTGGCCAAGCCTCGAAATCAAGTTAACTGTTTATGCACAAAAGACAGGGACAGACAGGGAGAAAGAAAGAAAGAAAGGGGGGTGTCTCTTGTTGCTTTACCGTTTCTTTCATTTCATTTCGTTTCATTTTGTGTTCCAACTAGTTAACCAAATGAACTAATACACTAGGAAAAAATTCCAATAAAATAAGTTCTAAAAGAAAATATAGCAATATGACAAGTCTTATGCTATAATCCAGTTTTCCTTTAAGGTTTGTTATTAACTTATTTTGTTTTAAGCTCAAGGTAGTCTAAATAGTTCATAGTATTCTTAGGAAAATCCTAATTTTAAACTATTTTAACTAACCTCAGATTAAGGTTTCATTTACTAAAGTCAGACTTGTCGAAAAAAAAGTTGGGTTTCTCATTCGGTTTATAAACTAGAGGTTAAATGATAACATAGAGTATATAGTAGTTCGGGTGCTTATTTCCCTATTAATTAAAATCAATACAATCAATTACAATAGTAAACTTATAATATTTTATAACTTAATTTGACTATCTTTAATTTCTTTCCGTGTACCGTTTAGTGTGGGCCATCTCTGCCTCTTCTCATTTCTTCTTTTTTTTTTTTTGGGTCTACACACCTGTGTGTTTTCGTTGTCGGTCTTTATATGAAGTTGGATCGGTGCCTTGAAGAACTTCCACTTGGTTGGGTTCCAATCAAGCGTGTGCACCATCGCAATACAAATATCGAATACGATCACACATTCGTGGCCAAATGCGTTCTTCTTTCTCTGTCGCTCTAGCTGCCTGGCCCCCCTCCCGCTGGCCCCCCTCCCGCTGGCCCCACCAATTTATATGCTAATTTAACTGATTATTAATGTTTTGACCCAAATACCGTTTGGAAATTATTATTGGCCGATTCTGGTATCGATTTTTTTGGTTTCTTCTTCGTTTTCCTATGCATCTCATGCTGTTGCTTCTCGTTCCTCTGTTTTTGGGTGTTTTTTTTTAGACATTAAGGCTTATCGAATGTCTTAACTTAATCTCTTTCGCTTGGGGAAATATATATACGAGTCTAAGTCAACGGGCGGGCCAGAAAATGTTTTCTTAGGTTTAATATTTTCATATTAAAGAATCATTAGTGAAGTCTAATCTGGGAGTAGGGATCTATGTGTCAGGTTGTCAGCAAGTGCAGGGAGAACCCGGGGAAGCGTAAGATATGGGAATTAATTAAATATTTTGAGGTGGGGTCTCATCTCAGCGGAAGCCCAGTGTAAGCTTAATTTGAAGCTAAGCTCAGCTACAGATCTTCAGGGATTTCTTAGGGTATTTTTATCTGTGAATGGATCAGATCTTAGACCTTTAGTTTGATGAATGAACCGATTATCAAATGGATTACAGGGGAAATTGTTGTAAGAACTAAGGTATCAGGCTAGGCCCATCTTTACTTACATTATTTGACCCTAATTTTAAGTATAAATTAATAATAATAAGGTAACATTAGATTTGGTTAAAGCTTAATTAATATTTCCCTAACAAAATCTAGTAGAAACCTTCAATGAAACCCTATTTTATCATCATAAACAAACATAAAACAAATCTTAACGATATCCTACCATTTTTCTCCCTATTTTTTGCAGTTCAACATTGGTCCCTGGAAAGCCTAGAAAGTGCTTAACCCTCGGATCGCCAGAAGATTCGCCTCGATCACCTGGGTCTAATGACAATGAAGTTTTGCAGCATGAACGGCCCAAGTGAATCGGAAGTTGAGAGCCTGCTGATGAGTCCGTGCTGGGGACCGCCCCAGACCTCTGCCCAGGACCAGTACCTGCTCGATGGCCACAAGCTGCTGCTGGAGCACGACCTGGACTCCCTGCCCAGCGATGCGGACCAGAAGAACTCGCTGGACGTGCTGGATAACCTGCTGCTGAACGGCTCCTCACTGAACGCCCTCTCCGACCTGAAGCCGCTGCCCCCGTTCACCGGCTACACCGGCCATCTCTCCATCAATGGGATCTCCGGCCACCACTACCATGCCATTGCCCAGAGGCTGCCGGATGAGAGTAACAACAACTACATGCAGAGCGCCTACCAATCGAATCCCACGTCCACGACACAGTCGAGTGCGGGAGTCGGTGGCAGCAACAGCAGCAATTCCAACTCCAACGAGCACAACATCGTGTCCTCCTCCACCTGCCTGCCCGAGAGTGTCCTGAGCGGGAGTGGTGGGGGTAACGGTAACGGGGGAGCTGACGCCTGCCTGGCAGACGTCAAGCTCTTCGCCGATAGTCAACTAGATTCTAAGCTTTACTCAGTCGCCGATAGCTGTGTGATGAGCGGCTCCGGGACCGGATCCTCGGCGAACGGCAATAACGGGGCAGGTCCCAGCATAGCCACCTTGACGCCCATCGACCAGGTGGCCGACTCCCTCCATAATAGCGGCGTTCGCATCTACAAGGACCTGACGGAGTACGTGGACATGAACTCCATAGACGACATAGCGGCCATTATAGGCTCCGCCATTGCGGACACCACGGTGCCCAATCAGATGGACAAGGACGACAACAATGACACGCGGGACAGCTGGATGGATCTCGATGCCTGGATCGATGGCAATTGCATACAGCAGGAGTCGGCCAAGGTCCTGGTCTCGCAGCAGGACTCCCTCGGTGACTTCATGCTGCCACACAGTCCCCTGCCCATGCACGCCAGCAGTTCCACGCTTCAGAGCCTTCTCAGCCACGGCTACATGCCGCTGCTGCAGAATCGCCTCCAAAACGGACCTCCAAATGGAGGCTCCTCGGGTGGCGGAGGATCCCAACAGGGTGCTGGCGGCAAGGGGGATCCGCAGGCGCCCACATCTACCTCTTACTGCAACGAACTGGCGGCAGCCACTAGCAGCAGTTGCAGTCCGCCCGGATCCGTGGTCAGCACCACGGACAATCCCAACGGCCTGATGATCAATCCGCGTTACTTGAGCAATCCGCCTGGCAGCAATCAGGCGACGGGGAATCCCCACCAGCAGGGCGGCTATCCCATGCAGAATTCCGGTATGTCCCTCAAGGACAACGGCCTCTGCTCACCCGACCTCCTGGGCAACTATCCGCACACGACCACGGCCAGCACGACGGGCTCGGAGCTGCGCACCGGAACGCCCAAGGCCAAGCGATCCCGGTCCCAGAAGAAGTCCAGCCAGCAGCAGCAACAGCAACAGCAGCAGCAACAGGGCGAGACCGGTGGTCCGCCCAACAATACGCCCCAGATGAGCGCCATCTCGCCGTCGGGCTTCAGTGCCAGCGATCTGAGCGGTCTGCTGGGCAAGGAGAAGCCGGTGCATCGGTGTAGCATCTGCAACCGGGGCTTCCTCAACAAGTCCAACATCAAGGTGCATCTGCGCACCCACACGGGCGAGAAGCCCTTCCGCTGCGATGTCTGCGCCAAGGCCTTCCGCCAGAAGGCGCACCTGCTCAAACATCAACAGATACACAAGAGAATTGGGCGTGACTGACGCTCCTCCACGAGCTTTATGTTATAGCCGAACAACCAGTAGCATCTCCCAGGGAGGAGCTTCATCCACATCACAGAAAAGTAGGATCATTTCAATCAAAAACTGTCAAATCAATGGGATATATATTTTTCATGAGAAGGTTCTGAAATCTAAAGAGTATTGAAAACCATTATTTTAGTTTGACTTTCGAAGTAAAATCAAGATCTTGGTTTTTAAAACCTTTAAAGAGTAACTGAACTAACCCCAATAGACAGTTTACTTGATTGATTGTGACTTTTTCTGTGTGGAAGTTATTTTCTTTAACAATTTCGGTTCCGACAAGGATCTATATTGTCTGAAGATTGGCTCCCATTGGGTGGCTTCTCCCTGCTTTCTCTGCGTGCGTGTGTGCCAGTGCTTGGCCAGGCCAATGTCTGTATATCACAGAATATACGGGGATTGGCCAATCTATATATCAGATATATATATAGAGAATATAATTTTGTACAAGGCTACGCAGTGGCATACACACACTTTTTGATATTCGTTGTTGTTGGTTGCTTTTGATCTCTTTGGTTATTCCATTTATTAGGCAAAATTCAGACTAGATTTTTTATTTCAAAGTCCTTAAAATTGTCTCTCCCGTATTATAGTACTTCTTATATCTTTATACTTTTTGAAAAGATAGACAAACCTTAAATCGGTACCCACTTTTTGGCTATGTCAGATTCAAGTTTAGTTCTGATACGTTAGCTAAACATCAACCTACTACCTCCAGACAGGCAAATGATATAGTAGTATTATCCATTTTAAATATATGGTAATATCTGTAGCTATATGCAGACCAAGACCCCTAGCAATAGTGATCGCAAAAGAAAAGCCAAAGAAACCACAAGCAATGTAAGAACAACGAAGCGTCCAATTGTCATTCTGCAACTGTTGTTCTGTTTTGATGCAGGATCGCGAACTTCGAGCAACCAAGGTCCTGGCACAGGTAAAATATACAATAAACAATCTAGACAATAATACCAATATAGGAAGGGGAATTCGAGGAAGTTGTATAAAGTTCTGAATGTTGTCTGTACCTCATCATGTTGAAAACTGAAAAGTGACGCATACAAATTACAATTTAAATCTAAAACTAATCAAGCAAAAGCAATAACAATTTTAAATTAATTACTTTTAAAATGTACAAACCAATGGAAAAGCGTTAATTCTAAAACATACATATATATATAAACAAAAACAATAGTATAAGCATTTTGTAGCGGGCTTGGCAAAATATTATTCATAATAATTCATTTGCGTAAATACGAAAACGTTAACAGAAATAAATCTATACCGAAATCGATGGAAGTGGAAATGGAAATAGAAATGATGAAAATCGTTTAGCAATGTACTCAAGTAATAAACTCGATTTAATTTAGCCAATATCATAAAGCGTTGTTAATTTGTTTTTTAAAAAGTTTGTTGCTAAAGTTTTAACGTTATGCTTAACCATAAATTATGTTCAATATACCCGAAATTATTTATCCCTAAAATTTGGACACACATAGCACACGAAAAAATAAAAATAAAAAACACAAAAAATTACATAAATTCTAAAGTAATTTAATGATATTTTTAAATATATGTATGTATAATTTCTATAAAAACAAAAAAGGACAATATTAATTGTGTTATTTTAGTTATCGTGCAATTTTATTTATTTTTACAAAAGCAAACTTGAATTTTGTTCAACACATTTCGATTTGTAAATATTTATTTCGTAACTGTAATGCCTAATATTTAATTAATTATATTTAAATAAATTCAAATGTCATTCAAAATGTGCAAAAAAACAAATTAAGCCTACAATTTGCAAAGGTGTTTTATTCTTGGAATTTACTAAAGTAAGTTTTAAACGAAAAATGTTGTACAAATTTGTTTGGTTAATTAGAAGAAATACTTCAGTCTTTTAATGAACCACATGGCGTATGCGTAATAATGAAAACTCTGAATACTAATGGAAGATTTAGATAGAGTCTTGAGACTTTTGGGTGTTGCCCCCCATTGCATATGCCTCACAGAGCCTAGCAGCCCCTGCTTTTATGAGCCCCATTAGCAACCTGACAGTGTCGCATTGAGGCACGTTCGGCCACAAAAACAACAAGAAGTGGAGTAGCAGCCACAAAAATATGCGAGCAAAGTCAAGCCAAGACCAATACCAAGACCAAGAAACCAAACCAAACTAAACCAAACCAGCCAGTCGGGTAGAATCATTATATTGACCACAAAGAAAGCCAGCGAAGAAAGAGCCAAAGAAAGAGCGAAGAGGCGAAGCCCACACAGTTGTTGGGGGATATATACTCGTGCCTCACAGATACAGCCACAGCTATGGAAAAAGATACAGATACAGAGACGGAGCCAAAGCCAGAGCCAGAGACGGAGAATACCATGCATACTGTGCCACTGACCCAATTTCCAGACTCGTTTCCACACAGAACCGCAGCGGATTTGAAATGTTAAGATACTAAGATACTTTGCTCTTTCACCGCAGCCCGTCTGGAGGTAGACACCGATATACACCACTATATATGTACATATATACAGTGGCGAGCACAACTGAGTGTATGTTCACGATTCTGACTTTGGCCATCAATAAAAACCAAACCACACAAGCAAATTCAAAAATTTTTTTTCTATAATTTTTCTTAATTAATTTTTAGTTATTTTAAGAAAGAAACAGCAACTTATCAAATAAATTCAAATATTTAGAATAAAAAAACGAAATAAACTCACATAAACTCAATTTTGCACGTTTTACCTACTTGAACCTTTTTTCGCTTTCCATATCTCTTATAAACTAAATTTTATGTTTTTTGTAACAGATCTACCTATATAATTGTTCAGTTATATTTTTGGTGGTTGTAGATCAGTTTAAAACGTGTTTTTGATGACCGAAGCTGTATTTGGAAAAATAATATAAAAATATTTTGATAAAAGCCCAAAATTTTCCAAATTTTTTGTGATAAATTAAAAATAATGTTGTGAATCTGACAAAAAATAGCAGTTATACTCGAAAAGTGACAAAAGGAATTGGTATTTTCCAATTTCCATTCAGAAAAGTCGAAAGTTAACCCCCAAGCCTCAAGTCGTTGGCCGGAAATAATTATTAAAGTACTCAGATGCTCGTCTAATATGGTCTAAAATGCAAAAAAATAAGCTTTTAATGCCAAAGGGTGCTTGTCTGACCATAAACAAAAATGTGTGTGCATGTAAATTTCCAATATGCCACCATGCAAGCCATTAGATTTCCTTTACATGGCTTTACATGGTTTCTTTGAGTTCGATCGCCTGGTGGAATCAAACAATACGGTTTTTTATGACTGTGAAAAAGGTTAAACATTAACTCATCAGACTAGTCAACTTGTTTTCAATCGTCAATGATCGAATTTAGGTGATTTTTAGTTAATTTTAAACGAGCTTTGGCATTCTTATTGGAAAACGCAGGCTTATTATTTTTTACGCTCGATCTGTATCCGATGTCCTGCAATGCTCTTCTAGCAGTCCATTTGCTGACATTTTTGTTTATGGTCAGACAAGCACCCTTTGGCATTAAAAGCTTATTATTTAGCATTTGGGACAATATTAGACGAGCACCTGAGTCCTTTAATAATATTTTCCGGCCAACGACTTTAAGCTTGGGGGTTAACTTTCGACTTTTCTGAATGGAAATTAGAAAATACCAAGTCCTTTTGTCACTTTTCGAGTATAACTGCTATTTTTTGTCAGATTCACAACATTATTTTCAATTTATCCAAAAATTTTGAATATTTTTGGTCTTTTATGAATATATTTGTATTATATTTTTCCAAATACTGCTTCGGTCTTCAAAAACACGTTTTAAACTGATCTACAACCACCAAAAATATAACTGAACAATTATATAGGTAGATTTGTTACAAAAAACAGCAAATTAAGTTTATAAGAGATGTGGAAAGGGAAAATGGGTTCAAGTAGGTAAAACGTGCAAAATTGAGTTTATGTGAGTTTATTTCGTTTTTTTATTCTAAATATTTGAATTTATTTGATAAGTTGCTGTTTCTTTCTTAAAATAACTAAAAATTAATTAAGAAAAATTATAGAAAAAAAATTTTTGGATTTGCTTGTGTGGTTTGGTTTTTATTGATGGCCAAAGTCAGAATCGTGAACATACACTCAGTTGTGCTCGCCACTGTAGGTATTTATATATCTGTGTGTATGTCTGGCAAGAGGGGTCTCCAGTTCGCATCCGCATTTCTATGCCGCTGACTCGGAGAGTCTTCATCTGCTGGCGCGCCTGCTTCTTGATGTATCTGTAACTCGTTTCTGTATCTCGAGCCTTGTATCTGTGGCACTTAAATTTATGCAACATCATGGCTGCTGCGGCTGCTGCGGCTGCTGCGACTGCTGCTCCGGCTTGCTTGTGGCTTCGTTTTGTTCTAATCAAACTGTGCTACGTGTTGCGGCCGTTGCCTGTCATGGGTTAAGCTTTTGTTATATTCTAGGAACAGCGCTTTGGGAGAAAGGTCACAAAAATATTTTTAAATAATTAATTAAGATGTTCTTTTTATCCATTTAAAAGTTAAATTATGCATTATTATTTTGTTAGGTATTTTTAGTGAGAAAGGGAGAAGTAAATTATAAAAAAAAAAAACAATAAAATCCCGCTTTAACATTCAAAAATAGTGATCAAATCAAACAAATTCCTTTATTAAAAGTCACTTTAAATATTTTTTAAAGTTTAAATACTTAACAAAGTCCCTTATTTTGCTCTGTGTAAGCCTGCAGCATTTTTAACTTAAAGATTTTGCCAAAAGAGAACCTAATGATGTAATTTTAAATGCATTAGAAGCGCTGAAGACACATTTCCGTGGAATCTCTTTTATCTGTTTCTTCTCCATTTTTAATTAAAGTTTGTGTCAATTAAAAGTAATTTTCCACTCTCTCATCTCTGAGTTTATATTTTTCGGCCACTTAATTGCATCCAGCTAACAATGTGGCTAAGCATGACCCAGATCAAGGTGTCGGCGTAGATAATATGAATGATGGTGGGGAATCCTAAGATTGAAGTGCTTAAGATTGAAATGCCTAAGCAGGCATTTAGGTTGGCTTAAGCAGCATTTGAGTTGAATAATGGAAGATGGAGAGTGAAAAAGATACATCATAGCGTGAGTTAAAAATGCTTTTAAGACTAAAATAAAAAATATTTCTTAGTAAGCAAATTATATTGTTTAAATGGGTTATTCTTTTAAATAACTACATTTCAAAATATTATTTATATATATATATAGATCTTTTTTCTTTAAGTTTTTGTGCCTTGTACACGAACACAATTTTTTATTGGATTACATCCTGTTACCCAAACCATTCTGCTAACAGCAAATGATAGGCCAGCTTCTCCTCGACCTTTCTCAGCAAGTCGAGACTGACTTTTGTTGTGCTCCCTAGATTCCCTCTGGCCAATAATCGAAAAATTGCAGTCTGCAGTTGCAGCTGAGCTTCGGTTTACTTTTTGGCTCATGCAGTAGCAACTGAAATTATTTCTTCCACTCGAAGTCTCCAGCTCCTTCGCTGATTCACTCCACGACTTGACAGACAGTCAGGCTAAGATAGTCGTTTCATACTCTTCAAAGGGGTATGACAATTGTGTTGCTGAGTTTGTTATTTAAAAACAATATATATATACTTTTTAAGTATAATAAATTAATAAAATATATGAGGTATTTTATAAAATTATTGTAGATATTTATATAAATAATTTACATATATACATATTTTCTATGCAAAAAGAAAAGCTCTTCCTTATAAAAATCGTAGCTTTAAGATAAAGAAAAGCAAATAAAAATTATCGATATAAAATCGAACACATTCTTAAAGCCAAATAAATCAATTTTTTTAAATCATTTTTCAATTAAATATTTTAATTGATGGTTAAGAAATAACAAATAGGCTTGATAAACATTAACATTATCTATTAATGTTCGATTATTAAATAATCGCTTAATATCGAAACTATATCGATATCTTGAAGCCATCTTAACAGAGAATAAACCTAATTCGGTGTCCGTAGGCTACGATTTTCTCTGACTTGGTCTTTCTGGCCAAAATAGCAAATCGGGCGTCGGTCGTGTTGCCGTCGCATATTCATATTGTCCAGCAATTGCAAGTTGCTAGTTGGTAGTTGCTATTGGCGATGTTGCTGCTGTTGCTGTACTGCTGCTGCTGCTGCCTTGCTATTTTGTGCTGTGGCGCAGTTAAAGACACAATGACCTTGGGTGAAAGTTGCTCTCCATTTCTATTTTGTGAGTGTGTGTGTAGTGTTGTTTGTTTTTGTTGTGGCCCATTCACTGCTGTTACTGTTGATGTTGCTGCTATGCCATTTTTTACACACATATATTGTTATTTTTAACGATTTTGCCTTGTCTCCATATTTGCTTTTGTCGCGCGGCGTCCCTCCCGCTCCCCAGACGCCGCAACACATCTTCCCTTTTTGTTTACACCCGTGATTTGTGTGTGCCGCTTGTTGCTGTTAGTTTTGATTACTTTTGCTCTTGATTGAGACTTTGATTGATGCCAGCAGGGGGAGGGAGAGGCAGACGTTGGGTGGACGGAAGGAAGAGTAGCTGCAAAGCAGAACGGAAATGGCTTGCGTGCCGGAAGTTGGAGGAATCGAGCGAGATCCATACTTGGCTTTGTTAAAAACCAAATTTCGCAATTTTTCATAATTTATGCACCCGCATTATATTT